AGGATGGAGCAGCCACAGCTCCTGTGGCAGTTCCGCCATTGCAATCCCAGTCAGGAATCCTTTCCCAATCTTTTCACCACTCAACAACTTCAACTTAAACCCCAAAACCACCACTTTAAAGTTGGATTTGCTGAGAATTCCTGCCTAAAACTCTAATTTTTTTCTGGTTTTTATCCACTCTTCAGCCTGACTTTACAGACTTCCAGGGATGGAGCAGCCACAGCTCCTGTGGCAGTTCCACCATTGCAATCCCAGTCAGGAATCCCTTTCCAATACTGAGAAAAAACTCCCAATCTTTTCACCCCTCAACAACTTCACCTTAAACCCCAAAAACCACCACTTTAAACATCCATTTGCTGAGAATTCCTGAGTGAATCCCTTGTTTATTCCAGGTGACATTCCAGGAGGAGGTGACAAAGTATTACACAAGCAGTGAGGAAGACCTGAAAGGGCCTCATAGTCTATTTTTGTATTATTTTCTAGCCATATTTTTATTCCATATTTTACTTATTTTTATCTATTTTTTTCTGGTGTTTATCCACTCCTCAGCTTGACTTTGACTTGACTCCCAGGATGGAGCAGCCACAGCTCCTGTGCGAGTTCCACCATTCCAGTCCCACTCCTGATTCCTTTCCCAACATCCCTCCGAAAAAATTCCCAATCTTTTCACCACTCAACAACTTCAACTCAAATCCCCAAAACCACCACTTTAAACTTGGATTTGCTGAGAATTCCTGCCTAAAACTCTAAGGTTTTGCCAGTTTTTATGCATTCTTCAGCCTGACTTTACACACTTCCAGGATGGAGCAGCCACAGCTCCGCCATTGCAATCCCAGTCAGGAATCCTTTTCCAACACCCCTCCGAAAAAATTCCCAATCTTTTCACCACTCAACAAACTGAACCTAAAACACAAACCCACCCCTTTCAACCTGCATTTACTGAGAACTGCCTTGTTGTTGCAGGTGACATTCCAGGAGGAGGTGACCGAGTACTACATCAGCAGCGAGGAGGATCGCCGGGGGCCCTGGGAGGAGCTGGCCCGCGATGGCTGCCGCTTCNCAATAAATATAATAAAATAGTAATATATATTAATATATAATAGACTATAAATATAATGAAATATTAATATTCTATATTAATATGATGTAAATATTTATATTCTAATGATGGGCTTGCTGTTTATGGGATAGTTATTTATAGGAAGGATGTAATCAAAAACTGGACTTTTGAGCCTAAACAGAGTAATTTGATTTTTAAAATAATTTGGATAATAATCATAATAATGATGATGATGATGATGCCTGTGCTGGGATGCAGATAAACAGAAATTTATCCTGAATTTTGTGCTGCTGCAGATTCAAAGTGTTCCCCTCAAACATCTGGATGAGGAATAATTCAAACACCAAACCCTTGAGCAAACCCAGTGCTGGAACAAACCATCCAAACAGCAAACATTTCTAATTATTTCACATTTTCCCATCAGATACCCTTATTTCTCAGCATTAATTTCGATGATTCATTAATTTCGAGCGGCAGGGCTGCGGTTGCAGCAGGAATTTTTACCCCAGGTGCTGTGATGAAAGAAGGGCTGAGTGGCTGCAATATCCCGAGTGATGTCAGAGCCGCGGGAATTGCGGCTCCCACTGATGTAAAAAAGCTGCAAGGTGGGCACGGGCTGATGAAACAGCTCCTAAAACTCTCCTGCAGGAACCACTCACATTCCTGAGGGGTTTTGGGGAAAAAATTCCAAAAAATTCCAGCGGGTTTTGTTCCCAAAGCCAGCAGAGCTGGGGGTGTTGGTGCCGCCTTGGGCTCAGCTGGGTGAGGGCTCCTGGTGCTTTTTGGGGAGCTGGGAATTCCTGAAATCCTCCCCAGGTGATTTTTGGGGTCACCTCTGCATCCTGTCCATGCACAAAACACCCCTGGGACAGTGGGAAATGTCCCTCGTGCAATGGGGTCACCCCAAACCTTTCTGGAATTCCAGATTTTCCTGTTTGGAGTCTCCTTACAGCACCAAAACCATCCTCGTTGTGCTGATAAATCATAGGAAAGGAGCAAATTTTTTGGGGTTTTTTTTTTACATTTCCATGGTTTTTTCCTGTTTCTAGGAATATTTGTCCCTTGGGACAATGGGAGATGTCTCTCATGAAATGGGATCACTCCAAACCTTTCTGGAATTCCACATTTTCCTGTTTGGAATCTCATTGCTGCACCAAAACCCTCCTCGTTGTGCTGATAAATCCTAGGAAAGGAGCAAATTTTTTTGGTTTTTTTTTTACATTTCCATGGTTTTTTCCTGTTTCTATAAATATTTGTCCCTTTGGGACAATGGGAAATGTCCCTCGTGGAATGGGATCACTCCAAACCTTTCTGGAATTCCAGATTTTCCTGTTGGAGCACCAACACTCTCCTCGTTGTGCTGATAAATCCAAGAATGGAGCAAATTTTTTTTAAATTTTTTCCTGTTTCTATAAATATTTGTGCCCTGGGACAGTGGGAAATGTCCCTCGTGGAATGGGGTGACCCCAAACCCTTCTGGAATTCCAGATTTTCCTGTTTGGAATCTCCTTGCTGCACTAACACTCTCCTCGTTGTGCTGAGAAATCCAAGGATGGAGCAATTTCTTTTTTACATTTTTTCCTGTTTCTAGGAATATTTGTCCCTTGGGACAATGGGAGATGTCCCTCGTGGAATGGGATGACCCTAAACCTTTCTGGAATTCCAGATTTTCCTGTTGCTGCACCAAAACCCTCCTTGTTGTGCTGATAAATCCAAGAATGGAGCAAATTTTTTTGTGCATTTCCATGGTTTTTTACTGTTTCTAGGAATATTTGTGCCTTGGGACAATGGGAAATGTCCCTCATGGAATGGGATCACCCCAAACCTTTCTGGAATTCCAGATTTTCCTGTTGGAGCACCAACACCCTCCTCATAGTGCTGATAAATCCTAGGAATGGAGCAAATTTTTTTTTTACATTTTTTCCTGTTTATAGAAATATTTGTGCCTTGTGACACTTTTTGTGTGTGTATTTTAAATTTCATGACACAAACTCCACCCCTAAAATTCCAGGGAGGATTGCGAGTTTTGGTGTGTATATTTTTAATTTCATTACACAATTACCCTAACCCTAACCTTGGAATTCTAGGAAGGATTGTGACAGTTTTTATGTGTATATTTTTAATTAATTTCATTGATTTAATTAATTTCATTATGTGAGCTCCACCTCTTAGAATTCCAGGAGAGATTGTGAGTTTTGTGTGTATATTTTTAATAGGATTCCAAGAGGGATTGTGACA